CCCAGAAGGAACGCACCAATTAACCGTCGCCGAAAGGTAGAAGGCTTGCTCGGTCTGGGTAGGAGTCGATCATGGATTTGAATCCAGCACTCGCGGGTGGTACGCGTGTCACTCGTCCTTACACCATCCGCCTCTCTGCGATATTTCTCAAAAAATGTTACGACCGTAGTCGCAGTAGCATTTAGAATCTGCGTGGTGACAACAGTCCTCATGGCAGATGCTTCTGGAGACTTCCATAGCTAATGGTACTCTTGACTTAACATGGCAACCAATTTATGTTGTTACAAATAGGCATTTTTTTGTTGACGATGAAGAACAAGAACCTGCCTGGCGGAGGTTGGCTATGAGGGAGGGGCATTCAAAGGTTTATCCCACGTAAAAAAATGATGAGTTGTCCTCAAATACTGATGATGCGGTGATAAAGCTGGTGCATACGGCAAAGAGAGGGTGTGGTTGGAAAAGTTCTCACTTGTAGGTATCAGCTCCTCCGTTTTATCACCGCACTCTCATCATCCTACTATATATAATTCACTAAGTATGTCTGTCAGTGTGTGTGTGTGTGTGTGTGCGTCCGTCTGTCTGTCACGAAATTCATAGCACGCGTCGCAGTAAGCGTGGGACCTTGGATTCCGAGAGGTGATATAGGGTGTGGAAGCATTATTGGCGGGTGACAGAAAGTGATAACAGTTGATAAGATCCGATAAGGGGCCTCGGAAGGGGAGGGTCATCAAATTCGTAACGCAGGTTACAGCAACAGTGGGACCTTGGATCCGAGAGGTGATATAGGGTGTGGGACGGGAACATTATTGGCGGGTGACAGAAAGTGATAACAGTTGATAAGATCCGATAAGGGGCCTCGGAAGGGGAGGGTCATCAATTCGTAACGCAGGTTACAGCAACAGTGGGACCTCGGATCCGAGAGGCGATATAGGGTGATATGATAGTGATACGGGACGGGAATATTACTAGCGGGTGACGGAAGTGACAGGACCTGAAAATCCGCTTCACCGCTCACAACAACAATGCGATCGATATGACTCAAGTATAACGATCTCAATGATTCCAACAGAACTCATTCCTCACTGCTTATTAGTAACGACATCATGTACGACCGCTAAGCTAGCTCTATTCCAAATGCATGGGGTTTGTTTACAGAGATGTTATGAACAGCAGCAACTTGACTCAATCACTCTTATCGGACTATCTTCCATCAACAACCTTAGGGCCATTTAAAGGGTTCCACTGCTGAATGCGGGAGTGCATTCCAAAGCAAGACGCTTTAAGAGGACAGAATGCATGAATTATAGGCTGCTTCAGCGGCTACCTAACAGGCTGCAATATTCCCGTGTAGGTTATGAACGTACCAGTCGGATCGCTGGCTAAGGCCGGCTCTCCTCCTTCTGTGATGCTGCTGCTCTGCGTCTTGACGGAACGGGCGCTGCTTTTCAGTTCTTGGCTGATGCAGAAGATTCCTTTGAACAGTGTGGTTGGTCAACGATCCGTAACTTAGCACGCGGCAAATCCGCATGGGCGAAGCCGGGCCATGTCACAGAAGGAGGAGCGCCCGGCGACAGCTGGGCGATCCGACTGGTTTGAAGTGAAGACAGCTGGTGATGAACAACCGTATCACCAGAAAGCGTTCAAAAATGAAAGTTGGGTGCCGCGTTGAGCGAGGTATCGCCTACGCTGCGAGCGGATCGCGCTCTCTCACGTACTTATGAGTGCGCAAGTAGTAGATCATCTCTGCTTGCGGAAAGGACCACCGTATGCGTCTGAATGCCAAATGAACGCGGGACGTGTCCCTAAGGGATCCTTTCCGTGAACCGGGACAGCCGCAACAGATGACGATTCGCCTTGACCCAGGACAGGAAAAAGACTCCCAGGGTAAATCGATTCTTCCTACAAAATGAGGATTTGCGTTGGGGTAATCTTCCACGAGCAGTACTTCAAGAGCCCCTTGGCCCACTTGCCCCAAACACCCTCCACAAAAGCACGATCGAAAATAACTAACTTTTGCCTCCAGATTTGGTGTCTCCTTGAGAACTTCTCTGCTTGTGTCTTCCTGCTCCATGGCGATGCCATCATCCTCACTGACTGCCTACAAGAGACAAGCAATCTGAGCGAAATTTGACCAGGAATACTTTTTGAAGAGTTTTTACTCCCGTGGCCCTACTATATCACTGGGGCACACTTTAAATTTGAAAATGAACACAGTAAAAATGGGAAAACTAGCAGTTCCTTACATTATGAAAAGAAGTTTCGAGTGTTGAACAAAAGTCATCGGTTTCTAGTTTTTCATGATCGGTTATAACGTGTGACGAGCAACTATCTTGTGTTCGCAAACTACTCATCGAATGAGCAGATATAGTTGAGAATAATAACGACGAAATGGTACTCACTCTGAGATGAATAGCTACGGCCAAATTTTAGCCCGTATCACTACTAATCGACTAATTAAACGAAAACAAAGCGAAATTCACTCTTCTAAGGTCGAGCGCTTAAGCGGTCATGCTCACTCGTAACCACAATGCGGACTGCCATTTGTGCGGATTTCCGCATCGTTTTGACAGTTTTCACATCGATAATCAGTAATTTCCTGTTTTTTTTTTCATAGCCATTGAGCACGGTCTGCGAACCTGCGCAATCGGCGAAAGAAACGCGAAAAGATTTTGATATGTATCGACTGGCGGTTTGGCGAAAAGGTTTTGACGGTATCTAGAGGCGGTCCGGCGTTTCGCCTGCGTGAGGTATTGCTCTCAGTCTGCGACCAGACGAAACGGTGGTTTGGCGAAAAGCAATAAATACGTATTGATCGGAGAATCGCCAACCGCTCTGGAGAAACGCCGCCGCGGTTTGGCGGTTCGGCGAAAAGCAATAGATGCGTATCGATTTCGCTGGCTCCGCCCTAGGGAAAAACACCAGGGCGGTCGAGCTAGTGTTTTCTGACTAAACGCTCCGCCGAACCGCCCATCGATATATATCAAAACCGTTTCGCGCAACCGCCAGACTCTTCGCCAAACCGCCAATATATGTATCCAAAGCTTTTCGCCGAAGCGTTCCAGAGAAACACAGGGTCAAAGTTTACGAACAGTGCCTGAAAAAAAAACCAGCGCCGTCCGCTCTGGCGCCTTTCCCTCGCGCGAAGTGAGCTAAATCGATACGCATCTAACTCTCTTCGCAGAAACGCCGAACCACGCCGCTGTTTCGCCGGAGTGGTTCATTCCCCGATCGATACGTATTTATTGCTCTTCGCCGAACCTCCGATTCGTGAGGGTCGCTGACCGTGAATAATGCTTTATACTTCCCTACGAGTTGTGTGTATACCGTGCCCAAAAACTTCTCCTGAGAAATTTAGAGCAAAAATTAGCTGCCAATTAAACTGTGTGAAAGAGCTAATTCCGCGTTCATAGCTCGCGATAGTGACGAAAAGCAG